ATATCATTATCTCCACATTCATTACATACATATCCTTACCTTCATTTCCTTACCTCTCCATATCCTTTACATCCTATCTACTATCCATATCATATACTCTCCATATACTTACCTCATATCCTTACCCTCTCCATATCCATACCTCATATCCCCTACATCATATCCTTACCTATCCATTTCCTTACTCCATATCCTTACATATACATCCTTACCCTCTCCATATACTTACTCCATATACTTACCCTCTCCCATATCCTTAACCTACAGATCCATACCCTCTTCCCAATATCTGACTGATTACATATACTTACATCCATATCCTTACCTCTCCCATATCCTCTTACCCTCTAAAATCTTACTACCATATCCATACATCTCATATCTTACCTTCTCATCTTACCCTTCCATATTTACTCATATCCCTTTAACCCTCTCATATTTACTCATAACCTTACCTCTCATATCCCATACCTCTCCCCCATATCCCCTTACCTCTCCCAACCCTTACTCATATCCTTACCTCATATCTTACTCTATATCATACCATTTCATTTATACTCATATCCTTACTCATCATATCTTACTCTCCAAATATACCCTCATCTCATACCCCCCCTCTCATCTCTAAACCTCTCTTATCCTTACTAATATACTTATCCATATATACCCTCCATATCCTCCCATCCTAACTTACCTCATTATAACCTCTTCCATAATCTAACTCCCCATATCCCCCCTAACTCACTCCTTACTCTCAATTCCCCATACCTCATATCTTACCCCCACATATCTTACACCTACCTATACATCTCCACATCCCCACCCCCACACACACTTTACTCTATCATACCTCTCATATCTATTACCCCTCTCAAAATCCTTACTCCATATCCCCTCTACTTCTTCCATATCATACCTCCATATCCTAATCATATCCCCTTACACTCCATATTTATCCATATTTTAACTCTCCTCTTACCTTCTCATATTTACTCCATATCCCTTCCTCTCCCATAATCCCCTTACAACCATATCCTACCTCTCCATATTCTTACTCACATATCTCACTTCCCACTATTTCTTCTCTCTTCTTCTTACCCTATTCCAAATCTTACCCTCATCTCATACCATCACATATTCCCCTTACCCTCCCCATCCTTACCCTCTCATATCTAACTCATATCCCCTTACCCTCTCCCTAATCATACCTCTTCATATCCCCCATACTCTCCCATATCCTACTTCATATCCATCTCAATCCCCTTACCTCTCCCCCATATCATCCTCCATATCCCTTACCCCTTTCCATATCCTTACTCCTATCTTACCCTCTCCATATCCCCATACCTCATATCCTACTCTCCATATCATACCCTCTATATCTTCTCATATCTTACCCTCTCCATATCTCACCCCTTCATATCCAAATCATATCCCCTTACTTTCCATATATCCCCTTACTCCATATTTACCTCTCATTTCCTTCATATCCCTTCTCCATATCTTACCATCTCCCATATCCTTACCCTCCATAAATATCAAACCTCTCATATCTTACTCATCCATATCCCCTTACTTATCCATACTTCATATCCCCTTACTCTCAATATCCTTACTCTCAATATCTTACTCATATCCCTTACCCTCTCATATCATACCTCTCCATATCATACTCTCTTACCTCCCATCTCCATACCCTCAAATATCCCCTTACTCTCAATATCATCTTCATATTCTTTACTCACACTCAACCTATCATATCTTACCTTCCCAATCATACTTCATATCCTAACTCTCCCCATATCTTACCCACATTTCTTCCTCTCATCTACTTACCCCTCTCCAAATCTTCTCCTATCATCCTTCATATCCCTACCTCTAATACCCCCTTACTCCTTATCTTCCTCCCATATCCTTCCCCTCTCATATCCTTACTCCATATCTTACTCTTCATATCTTACCCTCATCCTTACTCTCAATCCCTTATCTCCCATATCCTATACCTCTCAAATATATTACCCTCCATATATACCTCTTTCCATATCATACTCATATCTTACCTCTACATATCTTACATTCATATTACTTTCTCTATCTTACTCTCCATATCTCACCCTCATCATATCTTACTCATATCCCATACTCCAAATCATTACTCTTTCCCCATATTCCCTACCTCTCCCCATATCTTACTCTTAAATTCCAACTCCATATCCCTACCTCTCATATCTTACTCTCCAAATCTTACTCCCCATATCTTACTCTCATCTTACCCCTTTCCATATCCTTACTTCCCATATCCCCTTACCCCCTTCTCCCATATCTACCCTTTCCTATATCCTTACTCATATCATAACCTCTACATATTCTACCTCTCATATATTACCTCTCCATATCCTTACTCATTAATCCATACCTCTCCATATCCTTACTCTCATATCTTACCTTTCATATCCTTACATCTCATCCTTACCCCCCTCTCCATATCCCTTAACTCCATCTTACCCCCTCCATATCTTACTTTCCATATCCTTACCCTCTCATATCCATACCTTCTCCAAATCTTACTCTCATATCCCTTACTCAATCCATATACTTACCTTCATATTACTCTCATATACCTTCTCTCCATATCCTTACCTCTCCCCGTATTTACTCTAATATCTTACTCTCCAAATCCCTTACTCCATACAATATTCCATACATACCTCTAATATACTTACTCCCATTCCTTACCTCACCAAATCATACCTCTCCATATCCTTACCTCCATCCTTACATCATCATCTTACTCTTTCATATCCCTTACTCTCATCCCATACTCTAATATTATCTTACCTCTCATATCCTTACCCCCCCCCTATCATCTTACCCTCATATCCCCCTTACTCCATATCAAACTCATATCCTTACTCTCATATCCATACTCATATCCATACTCCCACCCCATATCCCCATATATATATATATAACCCTTTTCACATCCACCTTCCCTCTATAACCTTCCCCCCAAACCACACCCCCTATAACCCCCCCCAAAACTACAACAAAAAAACCCCTAAACCTTCCACACCCTCCCCATTAACTTATCACCTTAAATCTATAAACCCCCCTTCCCTCCCATATAACAATATTTAACATATTACTATTACCCCCTATTATCCCATTAACAAATATTAACCATATTACCCTATCAACCCCTTTATCCCAATTACAATATTTAACCATATTAAACAGATTACCCCCATTAACTATTATCCCTCCAACATAAAAAAACCTCAACCCAACCCAACCCCTAAACCTCATCCCATCTCCCCCTACCCCCAAAAAAATACCCCATCTTCCCAACTCACATATATCCCCCATTTTTTATTATCCCTATCTTCCCACTAAACAACCAATCCCCCAAAATTCCCCTATCTACAACCCTTCACCCTTCCCACAATCAACCACCTTAAATCCTAAATTAATACACCCTTAATTTCCAAAATTACCTAACCCATAAATACTTAACTTTTCCAACTTTTACTCACCCCCCTTCACCTTACCTCTTCCTCTCTCTCTTCCTTCCCCCCCCCTTAATCCTCCTCCCTCATTAACCTACCTTTAACCTACTTTAAACCCCCCTACTTTAACCCCCTACATTAAACCCACATTAACCTAATTAACCCCCTCCATTAACTAATTAACCTAATTTAACTAACTTTAACCCCTATTTAACCCCCCCTACTTTAACAAACCTTTAAACCTCTTTAACCTACCCTTTAACCTCTTTAAATCCTTTAACTCCTTACATAATTTTAACCTATTGAACCTCCACCATTATCCTTACTCTTCATATCCTACCTCTCATCCTAACCTCATATCTTTACTCTCCATATCCTACCTCTCATCATACTCACATACCTCCACCCCTCTCCATATCTTACATTTCCATATCCTTACACTCTCCATAATCCCTTACATCATCCCCTTACTCTATCCCCCTACCCCTCTCATCCCCTTACTCATCCTTACTCTACTACCCCTTACTCTCCAAATCATACCTCATAATCATTACCTCTCATATCCCCTTACCTCCATATCTTCCTCTCATATCCTTTACTCTTATTTACTCTCATCCTTACCTCTCTATCCTTCTTCATATATTACTCCATATTACCTTAATCTCCATTTAATACTCCATATTTACCTCTATCCCTTACATCCATATCCCTTAACTTCCTATCCTTACATCATCCATACCTCATATCTTACTCATTCCTTATATATATATAACCCCCTTTTACCTCCCCCTCCTTAAACCTTACCCAAAACCACACCCCTACACCCCCCCCCAAACCAAAAACCCCCCTAAACCTTCCCCCACCACCCCTCATTAACCCCTATCATCACCATTATCCCTATTAACCATTCTCCCATTAACAATATTAACATATAAACCCAATTTTTTTATTTAACACTATTCCCCATATTACACTATTATCCACATTAACAATATGAAACCATATGTACCCCTATCAACCAATTATTCCTAACCTACACAAAACCCTCCAACCCAACCCAACCCTAACCCCCCCAACATACTACCACCTACCCCCCATAAAATACATCTTCCCCAACCTCACTTATACCATTTTTTTTACCCTCCATTTCCCTCCACTGCCATCAAACCCATCCCCCCAAATCCCTCTTACACATCACTTCCAATTACCAATTACACATCCCCCTAAATTAATTACACCCTTAATCTCCAATTATAACCCATTACCTTTCAATTTTCCACCACTTTAACTACCCCTTCACTTACCATCTTCCTCATTTTTTTCTCTTCATTCCCCCTTCATCTCCTCCTTCATTAACCCTTCTTTAACTATTTAACCCTACATAACCTACCATACTACATTAACTAATTAACCTCATTAACCTACCCCAAAACCCAAAACCCTCCAATCTACTTTTCAAACATATCTCTAAAACTTACCATTACCCTTATAACATTAACACCCCCAACCATTCCCACCCCCCCTCCACCCCCCCACCATTCCCACCCCCCACACCCCCATCACCCACCCCCCCCCCAGGCCCACCCACCCTCTTCTCGCAACAATACATTATCCCCCTAATACCACTTTATATACGCATTTTCTCTCGTCCTCTTACTGCATCATCCTCATATACCCTCATACATATGAGTTCTTTTCTTTTTTGACATATATATTCACCATTACATATCTGTTACGTGACCATTACACAATTATAGTCACTTATTAAGTAAGTCACAACTTAAGAACTAAAAACCCAATAGTAAAACCATGCCCAATTCACAACCAAACCATGCATGTTTACAAAACAAGTCCCAAATATGTACAAAACATAATCCACCACTAATAGAATAAGAATTCGATCCAAAATACCATATTAAATCCACACCAACATACATGAAAAAGCCCATTCATGAAACCCCCAAATTAACAACATAACAAACAAAAATATGCAACCACTAGCAACCCTATGAAGTTGACAATAGACAACCACAAAGCCCATTCCAACCATAATCCCCCCACTCACCCAAATTCAACATTACCACTCATCATCAACTAACAACCATACACCACCAACTACCAACCTCATCCACTTATTTCAACCCCATACATTATTTATTCCTCTTATTCTTTCTTTTTCCTTTTTTCGTATTTCTTTAACTTTTTCTTATTTCATTTTCCCTTTTTTTTATTTCTTATCTTTTTCTTTTCCTTTCTCTAATCTCAAATACCCCCATTACCATCCATCAACCCACACACCCCAACCCACCCCTCCACCAATCTTACCCTACCCCTTATTCCATCCCCCTTCCATCCCCCTTCTATACCCTTTTCATCCTTCCATACCTTCCATCCTTCATCCCCTTCCAGTACCTAAAACAACTCGTAGCAAATTTTACCATTCCACAACAAAACAAATTCCCATCACCATTAAACATTCCTTTCAACCATTCTCCTTCTTTTCCCTTACATATACCTCCTCTTCCCCCAACTATATCCATCCTCTTCCTCTTCTACTATGATCACAATCTGACCAATCTTAATCTATCCACATCCCCCATATTCATACCCACCCCTCACTTACATTTTTACATTACATCCCTATTACCCCCAACATATCAAAACACACATTCCCCCCCACTAAAAAACAAAATTTACAAAAAAACCCATACCCAAAAAATTAAAACCAACCATCTTACCCATCCTCATCCATACCCTTACCACTTAACCCCCTACCCCCCCACCCCAATACCCCCACCTTAACCCCTATCCCCCCACACCCATACCCCCCTCCCCCCCCCACAAAACTATCCCAATTACCCCCCTTACCCCCAACACCCATCTTACCCCAATATTCCCAAAACAACATCTCCAAACCCCAAAATCCCCATCACATAAAAAACAACCTAAACACAACCCTACAAAACCAACCCCCTCAACATATACCTCTCCCCCATAAATAATATCCCCCACACCCTACCCTACATCCCTAACCCACTAATCCCTACCTAATCTCTCTATCCTCCCTAATCTACTTAACAATCATACCCTAATCCCTACCCCTAACTAAATCTACCCTAATCCCATACCTACCATCCAACCATACAATCTACTACAATCCTACACCTATATCTACCCCTACAATCCTCCCTAATCTACCCCATACACATCCAACCCCTAATCCTACCTACAATCCTACTAAATCCCTACTAATCCTACTACCCAATCTACCCCCTAATCACCCTACCCTAAATCCTACCCTACAATCCTACACCCCTAAATCCACCTAAATATATATACAATACCACTACTCAACTACACAATCTTCCTAAATCTCCTAATCCTACTAAATTCCCTCCTAAACATCTACCCTTCATACCTTCCAACCATCATCCCTTTACATCCCTTAATCCCCCTTAATCCTTCATCCCCCTTAAATCCCCTTACATCACCTACATCCCCTTCTATCCCCTCCCATCCCTCTCCCCCTTCCATCCCCCTTAATCCCCCCCTTTCATCCCCCCTTCATCACCATTCATCCCCCCTTCATCCTTCTATACCTTCATCCCCCCCTAAAAAAATCTTCCTAATTTAACATTCACACAAAAAAAATTCCATCTGTCTACCCCATCACATTAAACATTCCTCTTATGAAACCATTCTTCCTTTTTTCTGTGCCACCCCCCTTTTCCCTTACCTCTCTCTCTTCCCTCCTATCTTCCATCCTATCCTATTATACCATATAATCTTGCTCTATCTCTCCACCCATCCCAACTTTCATTAATCAACCCCCATCCACTTACTTCTTTAAATTCCCTCCTATTACCCAACATATAATAACACAATTCCCCCCCACTATAAAACAAAATACTACAAATAACACCATACCCAAATCCTTAAACCAAACCATCTTCCCCCATCCTCCTCCATACCCCCCCCTGACCCTTAACCCCCCATACACCCCCTAACCCCACTTCCCAATACCCCCCTTACCCCTTAACCCCCTACCCCACACAATACCCTTAACCCTATCACCTACCCCCCCACCCAATATCATTAACCTTACCCCAACACCTACATTACCCATATAAAAAAAATTCAACCCAAAATACCCCATCCCCAACCCATAAAAAACACCCTAAAAACAACCCTAACAAAACAACCCTAAATATAATCTTCCATATTATCCCCCCCCCCCTACCCCCTACATCCTACCCCCTAATCCTACCCTACCACATCCCTCCCTCATCCCTACCTAATTTACCTAATTACCTACCCATTACTACAATCTACCTAAATACTACCTAAATCTACTACCAATTACCCTAATCTACCATAAATCTACCCTAAATCCTACTAAAATCCCTACCCCCTACCATCCTACCTAAATACATATCTACCTAATCTACCCCTAAATCTACTAACATCTACCATAAATCCTACCCCTAAATTCTACCCTTCAATACTACACCTACATCCCTAACATACAAATACTACCCATACACATCTACCCTAAATCCCCTACATAAATCCTACCCCATAATCCTAACTACTATACCCCTACATACCGACCCCCTAAATCTACCTAAATCTACCCCCTAAATCCCTACATAAATCCTACTACCCAATCCTAACTAATCCTACCCTACACATACCTACCTACACATACTTAACTAAATCCACCCCTAATCTACTAACATCTCTAATAACATATACCCACATAGCATATAACCATAAATCCCTACTAACACATCCATTCACTACATCCCTACACATAATTACTACCTACACTTCCCTACACCTAATCTACCCCTAAATCCTACCTACAATCTTTCCCATACACATAACCTAATCCATCCAAACAACCATAACATACCTACACATTCTATTCTACACAGACTCATACCTACACATTTCAATCCCGACCTACATCCTATACACATACATTCATACCGACACATGATTCATACCGACACATACTCATCCTTGAACCTTATTCCTACCCAGAACATACTACCCCTACAATCTACCTATAAATACTAAATAATATACCCCCTACAATAGACCTACCCTACATACAAACCTAATTCTACCCTATCTAACCTAATATACCCATACACTCCCTACCTAAATCCCTACCATAATTTACCCCTCAATATACCCTACAATATACATACATCCTACCATACACATCTACTAACATCCTAACTACATATACACATACATCTTAACTCAATTACCTAACGAAATACAATCCCTACCACACATACTAACATAAATTTCCTACACATATTCATACTACATAATCTAACCTAAATCCTACCATAAAATATACCCTTAAATCTACCATACATCATCTACCCTAAATCTACTAATCCTACATAATATACCATAAAATCCCCTAAATAAATCCTACCTAATCTACTAAATCTACCCTAATCCTACATACATCCTATAAATATACCAGAATTCAACATAAATCTACCCTACTCCATACCTAATCCTACCCCTAAATCCTACACTAATGCCTACCCTAAATCCACCTACAATCCCTAACATATATCCTACCATAAATCCTACCATAATCCTACCCTAAATCCTACATAATCTACCCTACAATACTTACCTACTTCCTACACATAATATACAGACACATCCGACCATAATTCCTACATACACATCCTAACCTAATCATACCTAATCGACTACAATCTACCTAAATCCTAACCTAATCTACCAATAAATCTACCCCTAACCATTCCTAACCATAATCACTACCTAAATTCCCTAAACATAAATCCTACTACATCCCTAATCACATACATTTACCCTACATAAACTAATCTACTACAATCTAACCTACATACTACCTACAATCTACTACTCATACCTAAAATCCCACCTACATATTCCTACCATAATCTTAACTAAAATCCCAACACATACAATACCTACACCCCCCTATTCCTTACCACTAAATATTACCCCTAATTTCTACCCATAATTCCTACCATAATCATACTCTACAATACGACACATAAAATCCTAACATTCTTCCTAAATCTACCTATCTACCTTCTCATACCATAATCCTACCCCCATAATCTACATATCCTACCTAAATCCACACCCCTACACATACCCTAACATACATCTTACCCCTAACATCCTACCCTAATACTACATAACATTCAGAACATACTTATACACTGACACATCCGACACATTCATATACTAATCTACCCTACACATCCTACCCTACAATCTACAAACTACACATCTACACTAATCGACTAAATGCCCTACCTACATACCTACTACTCATTTACTACCCCCTAAAATCTACCATACATTACTACCTAATCCTACCATACAAATACTTCCCTACACATACCTTCCTAAGCGACCCATACTCTTACCGACCACTAAATCCCGACCATAATCCCTAATAATTCCTACATAATACCTACACAGACATAATACAATCAATCCGACCTAAGTACCTACACTACATGAACCTACCTACCTCACATAACTAACATACAGACATACACATACTACCATAATCTACTACACATACAAACTACACATACTACACATACATACTAACTAAATAGAACTACATACCTAACTTTTACCTACCCGAATGACGTCACGAGTAGACCTACAATACATACTACACATACACAGTACTTCCAATAATCTGACCTTACATTATACAGACCCTTATAAACTAAGACTACCAGAATACTAAATTAAGAACTACCCGATAACCATAATATACGACATTCCCGTACGACTGACGACACATAAGCCTTCCCATATCATACTTCACATACAGCCTAACAGTAATGCCCACACATACAGCCAAACCCTATGACCGACTACTTTTACTAACATACTAAGCGACCAGAAGACTACACATAAAGACCTACCATTATACCGTACCGAGCCGTCCAGACTGATTCAGACTCTGACGACCATATTGACGTACATACTCAGTGTGATTAATTATTCAACCGTCAAAATTTGACGTCCACAGTTACAGAGTACAGTAGACGAACAGTCAGCGTACAGAAGCCGTCACAGATGGAGTCACAGTCTAGACCATCAGTAGCCGTACAGCTTTGACGTACAGACTTAGTCACAGTCTTGACAATCCCAGTGTAGACAGACACAGAGAGACCGACCATTTGACACACTGAGTATTGAACTCAAAGTCAGGACGTACAGTTTGACTACACGTCTGACTCCACAGACTCAGAATTCACAGTCAGATGTAAAGTATGACGGACAAGTATTGCCGTACAGTATAGTCAATATTAGACATACATGTACTTGACCGTCACAGTCTTTACGTACAGTACTGACAGATGTACTGACGTCACAGTTTTAGTTAACAGTTTGACCGTCCACAGTTCTGAGCACAGTTTGACGAAAGACTGACTGTCACAGTTTACCGTCACAGTCTGGGGACCGTCACAGTCTGACAGTCACAGTTGACGACACCAGTTGACCGTCAAGTCTCTTACCTTCAATAACATACAGTAAAGAATACCGACAATAAAGATACCACAGTCTGTCTTCACAGATTTACCGTCACGATCTTGACTTCACAATTGACAGTACAGTCTATCCGTCACAAACTGCATAAGACTATGGACCCGTCACAGTATAGGAACGTCCAGTCTTTTAAAGACACGTCTGACAGTCACAGTCTAGACTGTCCAGTTCTGACCCACATTGTCTGACAGTCCAGTTCCTGACCGTCACAGTTGTCGTAATTGAGATGAACTCCAAAGAGATGACGTCACAGTCTGCTCTGACGTCACGTCTGAGTCA